AACTCTGCTCACAGGACGCTGCCAGGGGTAAGTCAGTGTGATTGCATGCCACTGGTGATGGGGATGCCATACAGATTCATGTCAAAAATACCAAACTATCCCTTTAAACAGAGCGTGCACAAGGACAAATGGGATCTTATGAAACACATGCAAGAGCATACATTTAATAAACGTTTAATAAACCTTCCCACTCGGGAGCAGGTACAGGGTTGTGCATCTATATTTTCTGTGGAGAGTGGGTCGAGGTTCCCATAGACAGTGACGATTTGGACAAACATGTCAGATTTTTGTGTTGGTTCACAGTGTTTTCTGTAGTCTGTAGTCAGTGCAGCTATCTACCAGGAAATCTACCAATAATCCTGATTTCATTCTGTCAGGTTGGGTGGAGGTTTGAAGAGGACCCAAATGCAGACAATGAAGTAGTTTCTTGTATATTGAATAACAAAAAGGGTAACAGAAGCAAAATCCACAAACAAACCACAAAATCCAAAAATACTGAAAACCAAGAATACTAACAACAAGGAAGCAAAGAAATTATGAAAAAACAAGCAACAGTGACTGAGCAGGAGGCGCATATATGGGAGAGAGAAACAAAGACCAGACTATACAGCAAATTGAGAGCAGGTGTGAACAGAAGAGTCTAGAAAGGAGCTAGGGGAAAGCAGACTGACACCAGAGGGCAACAGAGGGCAAACAAGAAATACCAATGAACTCAAATGCAATCAAAAACAACAAGAATAACCCAAAATTGAAACCAATGAAAACTCAAAGATAAGATAACCATGGTTTCTTTGTTTGAGTGGCAAGCAAATTGGACCGATCTGAACTCCATAGAGAAGCTAAGGAGAATTGACAAGAATGGCTGAGAGACACCAAACCCAAGAAAGTAAATAACCCAAAGGTTACCATCTCAAATAACCATAGCTTATGTTACACCTCAGCAGAACCACAGTCTCATTGCCTCCAGGCAATGCCACTCTCTTGGAAAAAGGAACCCTAACCAACTGAGAGATCTACTTAATTACAGATACCTGGCATTTCTGCTTAAAATCCCTTTTTTTATGTGCTATTTTCAAATTTTCTGAGACATTTATTTTGTGTTTTCTTATTTGTGAGAAATATTAGTCAAACAAGTTTTTAAATACTTCAGACTATAAACTTTTATGGATTTATATAAATTTCCTTTTCTAAAGAGGGGGACACAAAATGTAAAACTTTTCCGATATTGAAATTTTTAGAGATGCATCTGTATAAAACACTTTTTGACTTTATTAAACTAGTTTCACATTCAGAAATATAAATGAAAACGCTAAATCAGTTCTATGATGATTCTTGATATAAGATGTTAAGCTTTCATGTTTTGTTGTTTATTTTAATCTATCAGGTCAAGTTGCAGAGGGCTTTTATAGACAGTAACAGATCATCACAAAAATACCCAACATGTTCTGTTGTGAAAAAATAGGTTTTATTTTTTTAGTTAGATCAGAAATTCCAGATGGTCAACAGAAATGGCCAGGTATAAAAATGAGAAAAAAGATCAAAATTCTAAGGCTAATTTGCACCATAACATCCTTTTATATGACTTGAGTTCAGATATAACAGACAGTATTAGATGTCTGGGAATAAACAGCTTTATAAAACATCATAGGCTACTGTACAACATTAAAAGTGCTTCAGAAATAATACAAACTTTGAGAAGATTCTCTTCTGGTTTGCTTGATAGGCTCGGACTGGTGTCCAATGAAATAAAAATATAACCAAAGCAACATCTGCAGCATCCGTATTCCCATGGACCAGTGCCACCCACCACATCAGCATGGTTGACAGATGTCACTGACTCACGTTTCCAGCCCCAAAAAGTTTCTTAAAACCACCTGGATACACAAAATCTCGCCCAATTTGAACTAAAGTTTATTGATATCTTAGGCCATAAATCTAAAGAAAAAAAATGTTTACCAATTTTTTAGCCCATCGTGCACCGCAACATATTTCTGCAAAATATTCTAACATAAATTCACCAAATATAATAGGAAAATCGTAGTTTGGTTTAAAGAAAGCATTTTAGTTTTATTATAATTTAGTTTGTTGTAAGGATTTTACAGTTTGAAGAAATAGAGAATTAGACCATATGCCAACCATTGCAAGAATATGCATGAAAAGGAAGGACTATATATACTGCATGCATCATTTAGGCAGCTAAATTTGTAATGCTTCTTAAGCTCCTACAGTTATTTACTGTCACAGGTAGGTGCTTCGGCCACAGAGTAAGAGTTGGGGCTGGTATGATTTAAGAAGGGCTGGTCCTTGCACACTGAAATTAGGGCCTGCCCACCGGACAAATGCCCGGTATCACAGATAAGGAGTCCAAGCCGGCTTGAAGGTGATGAGGTAGTCAGGGTAAGCTTGATTATCGTGAAACACAACAAACATGTTGGGTCTGTCCATTCTATCCACCACACTATCATAACGGAACTGGGGTTGCTGTTCGTCACGAGGTGGAGGCACCCTCATTCGTTTATGGCCTAGAGTGTAGACCCCTGTCAGGACTCTGACCACAAACATTAGCTGAGAACCATCAGCAGCTGGCCTGGAGTAGGTGGGGTTGCAGGAGTAGCTGGCATCTACAGCAAAGTAGGTTCCCTTTCCATATGATGTTGCTGTGAGTTTGAAGTAAATAAGTATTAAAAACACTATATCAAACTTTACTGCTGAATAGATTTCCTCTTTTTCTTAGCATTTCTTTGCTGTTTTCCGTTTCCATATCTGCCATTTAATTCCTCAAATCTTGCATATGAAAAAGTTTTTACCATTTTGCCCGGAGAAGCGCCTGTTGAAGCCAGTTGTCATGATAGAGTTACAGTTGTCCTGCGTCGTCCCATGATACAGAAACTTCTCATTTGCACCCCCCTCATGTTTGTTCTTCTGCGATATCTGTTTCTTTTGTACCTCGTAAGCACGACGTAGATGAATGTTCTGTAGACGCTCAATCTACCAGGATAAACAGAAAAAAACTTTTAAATCCTCCTTTAAAATAACTGGAACCTCTTTTGAAGATGCATAAAAACCTTTAAAATATAGTCAGTTTCTTACACACTTCCAGTCGAATTTCAATACTAATAATGAATAAACAATCTGTGACTGCACAGTAGGAATTCAAATAATTCACCACTTGTCTTTGTGTATCATCTAATGGCATAAACCATGCCATTATGTTTTAAATGTAATCTTTTAATCTATTCGATCTCTAAATCACATTAACTTGCCTATTGTTTTCTGAATGACAGTTTAACACTATATTTTTTGTGCAGGATACCATGATTTAGGAGAATCTCTGCCTCACTGAATCAGGTGATATATGTATTTTTTTAAAAGCATGTTCCAACAATGAGAGTTAACCCTAAACACGGTCCCTGGTACGTTATGAATTAAAACATAATTACTTGTTGCAGCAGAGGTTGCTTAAGGTAGGTTAAGTTTATTTAATGCAAAACCAGCCTGCCATTTAATGTGGACTTCACCAGAACATACGTCTAATGGTTGTTATTATAATGAGCAGTTAAACTACTAGCCATGATCCACAAGCTTCTCTGACCATTAACTCAAGTGCAAATCATTTAACGTGTCACCTGTTATAGTTGCATTCTGCAGCTTAGATATGATATTGGCTGACATTTAGTCGTAACTAAATGTGAGAATAACTGTCTATAAATATCACATCTCAGACAGTAGTTATTTAAGTCTAATGTTTGGTGTTTCCTAACTGCAGTTTCAGTCCAAGACAAATTTAAAAAGAAACTCTTTGGTAAATTAGCCAAGAATGAGAAAATAGGTGTTGAGAAATATTTTTCTACCAGGTTGTTTTTCATTATCAGGTTTTTAGAGCTTTTTAATATGCAATCTATGACTTACCATTTGTCTGGAAAATAAATATGACCTGCCAGACAGCCCTTTTTATATGTTAGGCACTGTGTGGTGTCATGGGAAGTTAAAGTACACATGTCTTTTAACCTCCGGTGGACCTTAAGTGGGGGTAATAACTCAGAATGCATAAAATCCCATCGGTAAAATTTTTACCAGCAGGTGGAAACCATTGCGTGTAGCTCCAAGCTGACACCAAAAGTTCCATACCTCACAGCTCTGGAACTGTTATAGCTAGAGGTTTGAAGTTTTCTGCCTTTGTGGTTGACATGGTGTAGAACCAATATAATACAGTAAAACCTGCCTTTCCTCAAGAATATCTTTATTACTGCTGTTGAAAAAAGACCTATCATTTCAGAGAATAAAAAAACACACTTTGAATCATGTTTGAACTGATGCAGGTTGGTCTGTGTTCTAGTCACCCAATTTTAATGCATATATCAGGAAACTAGAGGGTGTTAGCTTTCAAATAATGTATTAGACATGTAATTTGGGCAAACAGTCCCTCAGTTATTTGCTTTTCCATTTGGGTATGCAAAATAGGAGAGGATTACCCAAAATGAGGTAGATGTTCAGAGGTTAACTTTGATCAAAGTTAGAGCAGATGTGCTCCGATCTATACTATTTTATATTCCAATATGGGATGTCATAAACTTTTAGTATTACTGTTGCTGAATCGTAATTATTTTAACAAATGAACTAATAGAAACTAATCGTACAAACATTTGACAAGTCAAATTATCAACATTTAAAAATATCTATGAACTTTTTCTAAAAGGATAGCTGTGAATAACAACAACTAAAAATGGTCAGAACGTCCTGGAAATTCTGAAGGGTCATGAAAAACATTGCATTTTAGAAATATAATTAAAAAAAAATCTTGTCAACCTTAAAACTTTTAAATGCAAAGAGGAAAATGGGTATTTGCTAATATGTTGAAATTCGCACTTTTAATCGTTGAAGAATATTTTTATACATATATAAAATATGTTACCCAAGGGGTGTAAGGGGCCAGAGCATGATATACAGGTGTAAAAAATGAATGAGGAAATGGCACATTTTTGATACTTAAATAAAATTTTGTCACTATTAATAGGAAAACCAGAAAGAAAACTTACAAACCGCGGTTATTAAACTTACTATACCATTTGAATCGGTTTGAGGTACGCAACAGACAGAATCTGAGATTTTAATAGTAGATATTAATTATCAATCAAAACCACCAACCTTCATAACAGTTTTATTAGCAGTCCTTTTGAATCCTTCCTCCACCCTTCTGTACTCTTCCGAATTAGGCTGCAGAGGTACCACCTTCATGGCTTCATCGCTGGCCATGTTGTCCCAGTACAAAGGAAAAGTGAAGTCTGAAAAGCATATTATATTGACAAACTTCAGAAGACTCAGCTGGAGGCATCAACAATCGCCTTAATATCTGACAAACAGACTACAGTGAAGGTTGAGTTGTCTTATTAAGTAGTCAGGAGCACCACAGCTATCACAATTTCTCTCACAATTCCTTTTTACTCTGTACACGTCTGGCTTATAGAGCAGTTTGTACTTCCAAAGGAAGCTTAGGTCCTATGATGTTTACAACAAGAGGCTAGATATCTTATATAAGTCTGTTCTGGAAAGAGGATCTCTTCTGCCATCATCTGCTGGGATAATGGTATCAGAGCTAATGACTGAAAAAGGCTCAACAAGTTAATTAATAAGGCCGGCTCTGGAACTCCTCTGGAACCACTGGAGAAATCATAAAGTGAAGAAAATTACGGACAACAGTGAGCATCCCCTTAAAAACAATCTTAAACATCAAGAGAGTATCTTCAGTCAGAGGATGTATTTATACCATCAATTGGTATGGAGTGTGAAACTAAATGACTTATTTATATGTATATTCTTTTACTCGTTTCTGTAAAAGTCCCATTAAAGCTCTTACAAATCCCAACCTAGAGAACCATCAGGCATAGGCACCCCTCAGTGGCTGGGAGCCTAAGAAGGAAGAGGAGACAGTCTCATGCTTGGGGCCTAGGATGTTCCATTAGGTGGGAGGGGAGCCAAGCACTCACCCTGACAAGTAGACAAAGACACAATCACACCCCTAGACTCATACAGACATATACAAGCACTCAATTGAGACACACGGGAGCAGATATTGCTCCTGTGTGTGAGTGTATGTGTGTGTGTGTGTGTGTGTGTGTGTGTGTGTGTGTGTGTGCGTGTGTGTGTGTGTGTGTGTTTGTGTGTGTGTGTGTGTGTATTGTTACACTCCTCATACATACACTATTCTCCCTGGTCTAGGGGAACCAAGCCCCCAGACTCAGGAGGAGATCCCAAGCCCCCCAGTGTAGGAGGGGTGCAAAGCAGCTTGAGCTCTTAAAAAAGCAGGTTGGAATGGCGTGCCACCCAAGTGTAGCCCAGGTCTAGCCCCAAACACCACCCAAGACACCCTCTTAGAAGGTACACCTACCTCCACGGCACCAACCATAGTTCCCCATTAGCCTCACACCCACCCCCAGCCAATCACAATCTTCCCAGGCCCACACACTATGGACAGGCAATAATAATCTGGTTAGCCAGCCCCCCTAGGCCAAGCACAGAAAGCTAGCCAACTGAGTCCATGTGCTAGATATGCCCCGGCTTCCACCGAACCGCCTGCAGGGACAGGCCACACCCAGGGTTAGGGCAAGCAGCCAGGCAGATCCGCACCACAAGAGGCACCTGGGGGTAGTAAATGTATCCAACCAGCCCAGAACAACTTCTGTTGTCCAGAGCTAGATTGCAGCTTTTCTTAGGTGCACTAGTTTACATTTTGCTTGTGTTTTGTTTGTTAGTATTATTTGTGTACTGGCTGCAGGCTTTGCATTAGCAGTTTATTTTCACTTTGCTACACTCTGCACACTCCCCTTTTGCATGTGTTTTTTTATAAGTCATTTTTTGTGTTTTCTAGTATAATGTTGGTGTTTGCAGTACTTTATATATTTGCAGGGTGTTTATACCTCTGCCACTGTAGAAAACAAAGAAGGGAAAGCTAACACTACCAAGTTATCTAATAGTTGCACAGAGAAAAAGCTGTCTCTAAATATAGGGGCTTCATTTTTCATTATTGATATAAGCTTTCCAAACTTGAAGAGCACACCTGTCTTCTAGCCTATTGTTTTCAAAGTCTTACTCGCTGCCAGTAATGAGAGGAAGGTAAACATGGATATAATTCATTCCATCTACATTTTTATAGGTTCATTTTGGTTTAATACAGTGTTCTAAGGTTAAATCTAAGGTTGAAATTAAGCTTTGAATATTTATTGGTTTATTCGTCTTTCATGTCTTACAGGAGGTTAGGAGAATATCTAAAAAAAAATAATAGTGTCCCCGTCTTTACCACATCAATTGGTGGACCTCCTCAAGGGTTAGACAGACAAAAATATAATTGAGAACAGTTTAGGCTCTGTGCCTCACTCTGTCAGGATTGCTAGGTCAGAAGTTATGCTGAGGTTAGGGTGAAAACAGCTGATGAATAATAGACTGTCCAATTTACAGTGGCTTGTTTCAGACCTTTTCAGTCTCTCCATTAAAACTTAAAGGATACAGCCTTTGAAGTTATACAGCTAAAAGAACAGATTCTGCAAAATGCTAAAGCCAGGGCAATTTGTCTAATTGAAGCCTTTTAGCCTCTTTACCTTTTGAAATTAGCAGATTATAAAAAGTTTTTGAAAGATGGGTTTAGGTCTAATAATCAGCATTTGACTCATGTAAGGAAGCCAGGGCGTAGTGACGAACGGTTTGTACTGAAACTGTAATTTCCCTCTGGGATTATTAAAGTATGTGCTTTATTGTTTTTCTCTTTTATCTGTCCGAATCTCTCTTACCCATGCTGCACCATGTTTATCAAATGTAAATAGTGTTGTTTCACCTTGTTATATCAGACACGACTGGCACTGTGTGTTGACATCCATAGATTGTGTTTAGTGATGTCATGTAAACTACTGGGTCGAACTGGGTCTGGTGTTCCCACATCATGACGGTTAATGCCAAGGAGATTTTTACACGCGTCACTCGCTGAGTAGTTTGACCCGGCTAGACATAGGTCAGTGAGCCATTCCCAGTTTCACTAAAAGCTGATTGTTCCTGGGTTCGTCGGCTACATACATTCAAAAAGCTTTGAAAATCTGCCTTCTCACCTTTCAGATTTTCAAGACGCTTGAGAAATGTTGTCTTTCCTGGAGTTAGGGCTTTTAAATGAAGCAGATCCACTTGCCATGTGACTCCTTGTACATCAGCAATTCCTTCAGCAACATCCTTCTTTTCCAGGTTGTAATTGGCTGTCTTGGGGAGTCTCTCCCAGTTTCCATTTTGCCCCAGGATACACCACATCACACGAATATGCAAGTCATCCTCATCTTTCTCCCTCACCTCTCTCCTGAGGTTATCATGCAGTAATGAATTAAACAAAACAATTGCTTTGTTGACCCCATCTTTCATACCATTCATTGTCAAGTTTCCGGACAGATCCTTTGTCATGTACAGACCCTCTGACTCCACCAGTTGCTGTACATCTACAATATCATCTTCTGTGAGACTCTTAAGCTGCTCTTTTTTAAAGATATGATTTGAGCATTGAAGCTTATACTGATTTTTCAATTTCTCCTTAGCTTTATCAACATCATCTTTGCTTTGACCAAGGAACAGGAAGACAGACTGCTGGCTCGCAGTACTGATATCAAGGATGCTTTGGTCTGCTATCAGAGGTGAAGGTGCCCATGACTGTACCTGAGGCAACTGTACTTGTGATTCTGGAAAATAAGTGAAAGGTATTTGTGAAAAGTCTCGACTAGAATCTCTTCGACATCATAAGAAATTCTTAAAAAACACTCTAAAAGAAAGATATTTTTAAACAAATTCTGTCACCTTTTCTTTTAAAAATGGGGAACATCTGTGTTGCTTCTTCTTTAAAAGCCAAGAAGATGTTGGTCTTAATAAGGACAATACGAATAGCTGTAAGGGTGCAGCCAGGACCAGAGGATGTGGCAGTGTTAATTCCTCGTAGGATTGCACCAGCAACGACAGCAGGGTCCAGCCCAGCCGCTCCTGCAGAACAGTTCAATCAAAATTTAACCAAACATAGCAGCATGTATTAGGGTTTGTTCTCTAACAACAACTTTGGCCACAAAACATACTTACCGGCACAGATAGCAGGAATTGCTACAGATGCAAACCCAAGTTTTTCACAGTACTCAATAATGCTACATGCAAGTTCTTCAACCAGACTAGCATCTTTTTTTCCCCATACATGTAAAAGATTTTTACAGGGGAACTTTCCAGGCTGTGTCACAAAAATCTCTCCTCGGTTCAATGTTGCTGTACAGATTAGGGACAGGAAATTTTTGTCATTTAAAATAGCTCTGTACTTTTTACTTTCATACGTGAGCGATTCTTCTCTCTCACCTCTTTTTAGCTTAGCTTCCACATCTGCTCCAGCTACTGTTAGAATATCTTTGCAAACACCCTCTGTAAAAAAAATTACACTATGCACATCAACATTTTGTCTCTGCAGACTTCCAATCACATGAACATTTAGCTAATGTTCAGAAAAGGGTGAAAATTAAGCCATTTTTAACAAACAGCTTACAGAACTTAAATTGATATTATTCGTTATCTGCCGTGTTTTAGCATTGTAGTATTTGACAAAAAGTAAAGCCAATTAAAGCAGATAAAATATGGTTTGTTTATTAATTATTAGTATAGAACACAGTTGACACACTTTGACTGACACCAACCAAAAGCTATGCCTCCTTAAAACTAATTAAAATCCAGAAGGCCTATACTGTATTTTGTGTTGTTCTTTTGAAACCGTTGTTTCTGCTATGACTTTGTGTGTGCATGGATCTTTTTTTTCATCTGAAGTTCTGATATGTAATCTGTGTTTATGAACGGCAATAAACAATTTTATAATTGCAGTGTACTTCTTTACTAGGACTTTGACATTCATAAGCAGAGATGGAGGTTCTGGGGTCAACAAGTCCTCTCTATGTCATATGTTTGTTCTGTCCATTCTGGTTTAACCTGGTTTAAACTTAGCAGGTTGGATTCACCTGGCTCAGTGGCTGGGCAGAACAAATATATGACATAGAGAGTAACTTTTGACTGCAGATCCCCCATCTCTGCTTCACAGGCTAAATCTCTGCAGTTGTCACCTACCATTGAGAAAATCATTGAAGTTGGTGGTGTTCACTACAGCATCAGTTGTCTCATTTGTGATATCGCCAAACACTAACTGAAGTTTTGTTCCGCCTTTTAAAATAATGTTGATATCATCAAGGTCACTGGTGAGAGACCTGAAGAGTGCTAAAAGAAGGAAGCCATCATATGCAGTTGGAAGACTGACCAAAAAGTATATGAGATGTCAATAAAGTCTGGTTTACCTCGGCCTCCCTGGTTCATAATTAAGTTGAGATGTTTGCACACTTCATGGTAGTTCTGTAAAGAAAATAATCAACAATCAGTACTGGGCAACATGGGTGTGAATTCCATAGCTTTCCTTTAAGACGTACCTTCTCTGAGTCACGATAACCAGGTTTAATAACGATGTGGATGCTGTTGACATTTTTGCAATGTCCAGACAATGCAAACTGCCGAATGCTTTCTGTCAGAACTTGAACTGCTTCACTCAAGGGGTATTTTAGAAGTAAACCTGGTCCGATAACCGGTATGGCTACTGAACTGAAGCCGTTTTCTGCACAGAGCTCCAAGCATCTTTTTAACCCCTTTGCAAGAAGCTGCAAGACAAATATAAAGCATTTCCCTTCATGTTTAAAGAATTTCATCCAGCTGATATATCATTACCCTTGGATATTTCCTCTAATTTTAATTTAAAAAAAAAGGGGGGGGGGGGTTTGGGAGGGATCATGATTAGATACTGTACCTAAACCAGTTTAATGTCTTATAGAATGGAAAATTAGTGATCAAGCAAACACCTGGTAACTATCAACCTGTCTTTAATGAGGAGGCTTGAGGACAGAATGAAAAGCTAATTTTGTCTGCTTGTACCCAGGTTCATGTGTTCTTCTAGGCCCCAACAAGTCCGTCCATCTCCTTCTTTATGTAACCATCACACATGAATAAGACATAGAGATAATCAAAGTCTTCTAGCCTAGAGGGGGAAGTCCATAGTGAATTTAGTGTTTATATACTTTGATATTACCGGGTATTATTGTAATGCATGCCACAAACTGTCTGCAAATGAAAAAAGAATATGAGCAGTAAACTTGGTTTATATATGCTTTATTCCTTCTAATGAACGTTGCAGTCTTTAAACTTAAAGGGATAGTTTGGGATTTTTGACATGAATCTGTATGGCATCCCCATCACCAGTGTCATGCAATCACTCTGACTTACCCCTGGCAGCATCCTGTGAGCAGAGTTCTCGTCCAGCTTTGGTCAAGCCGAAAGTAGTCCGGCAGGTTTGCTAGACCCAGCGAAATAAAACGTTTCTCTTCCCAAAACATTATGTGTTCAAAAGAGTGATATTTTTGCATCCCAAAAACATTGTAGTGGAAAAAGTCACACGTCGTTATCACTTGGTCCTATTTTCTCTCTGTTCGTATCAGTGCGCGCCGTCATTCTGACAGCGAGCTCAACTTTTCCAGCTCAAGTCGCTGTTGTTTGTGATGCAGACAGCAGCTGCTGCAACTCCGACATCCTCATCAATGGAAAGGTTCTGTATCTCGGGCATTACTAAATCCCACTCGTGGCAACAGTAGCATCCACCTCTGTCTGCATTAATTCGCACTTGAAACAAGTGCACCATGATTTGTCGGCCACCCTGGATATCGCAGCTCCAGCTTTGGCTCCTGCGGCTCCGGCTTCAGCTTCCATCACTTCTCTGTCCACCCTCTCTCTTTCTGCCCGATCTAACTCCATTTGTCGAAGTTCATCGTCAGTGTACTCGGGTTCATAAAGATATCCCTTTGGCTCTAAGTGGAAGTCGATGTTTTCCTCGTCGCTCTCGTAGTCAGACATCTTCCCCAGTAGTAAACAATCGCGAATCAAACAGGTAGGCCCTAGCTGTCAGGTCATGGTGTCGCGCGCACTGATACGAACAGAGAGAAAATAGGACCAAGTGATAACGACGTGTGACTTTTTCCACTACAATGTTTTTGGGATGCAAAAATATCACTCTTTTGAACACATAATGTTTTGGGAAGAGAAACGTTTTATTTCGCTGGGTCTAGCAAACCTGCCAGACTACTTTCGGCTTGACCAAAACTGGACGAGAACTCTGCTCACAGGACGCTGCCAGGGGTAAGTCAGTGTGATTGCATGACACTGGTGATGGGGATGCCATACAGATTCATGTCAAAAATACCGAACTATCCCTTTAAAGGAGCATTAAGTAAGACAATTTAAAATACATCTTTGTCAATTGCCTAGAATGGATGTAACATTCCCAATAAACAATCTGTGAGACACAATAGGCAATGTCTTAGTCAATTTTTTCTCCTTTCAGAACTAAAGGTAAGGGGAGGAACTACGTTGGTGCTGTTTGTAGCCTTTGTTTATTCCCCGGTTCCTAAGACAATCCAAGTGTTGCCAAAACACAGTACAGGATTTGGTATTTAAGGTTTGGAAAAGGATGAGAGCCTGTTTGTCTCTTGTTCTACTTTCAAACATTAGATGGCATTATTATTTAGTGCTCCTTTAAAACAAATGGCAAATAACCCAACCTTGATTTTCAATCAACAAATCGGTATGACACATTTTGCTGGGTATTTAAATTATAACTTTTCTGTATGTTCTTAAAAGCTATGAAATAACTGCACAGTTGTTTATTTCCCATAACAGAATATAAATCTTGACTTATCATTTTACCTTCTCACTCATTCCTCCAGCTCTGTCCCAAGATTGGCACTCGATGCAGAATATTTTGGAGCACCCCAGAGATGCGCTGGCATCAACCTTGAGAACATCGCCGGGGGCAAGGCCAGATAAAAATACCAATATGTCAAACTTTGATTTGACTGTGTCTCCACCTTTCTTTAGCAAAGATTTCCCAATATTTGTTGAAGACAGGTTTTTATTATATGTGGGGACGACCAAAACATTCACCTGTGGAAACATTTAAAGATAGTCAATAGAAAACTGACAATAGCCTTGCTGAAAAATATGAGAATGAACTGAAAAAGAACAAACCTGCTCATCTTCTAAACTGCAGATCTTGATTTCTAGATTGATATCACTGTACGCATTAGGTTCCACCGTGTTGGGTCTTTGTGGGATACTGCTGATGCTGCTGAGGCTTAGTTGTCTGGCTGGCACGACTGTTGAGCTATCTCCTTGTTCCCAAATAATCACCTGACATGAACTTTCAACCAGCTCCTTGCTTTCTTTCTCTTCTCCTTGGAAGTATCGCAGAGCTCCAGGACCATCCAGGACTAATGTGTCAAATGTTATGCTGGCCAGAGCTTGCTTGGTTTCCTGAACCCGAAAACGAGGACCAGACAACAGTACACATGGGTTTGGAAAATGGGTGGCTGAGAGTGTGACATCATTTGACTTTATGCCAAGTATTCGTAAGATTTTATCAAAGCAATCAACTAGTTCAGGACGCTGCAAGCTGAGGACATCTTGAACTGACACTTGATTCGCCTGATAGTCATGGAGAAGCTCTTTAAGCTTGTTCACTTGTTCAGTGTAGCCCACCAGCTGTACTTTAACTGATGGAGTACCACTGTATCCAGGGACAAAGCTAACTTCCACTCTATGCTCACCACGGTTTGCTTCATTCTTTGCTTTGATAAGGATTTCTTTTAGTTGGTCTAGATCTGGAGGCTTGGCTACAGCACCCTGAAGATTCACACTTGATACATTTAAATCTCTCAGCAGTGTTGTCTCAGCTTCATTTAGAGCATCTGAAGACAAACTAGAAAGAAGCAGCTCTGATCCCACCTCAAAGTAAACTGGACTTCTGAGACTTTGTTGAAACTGAGTTTGGTACTTGGTGATGGCATTGCTGATTGCCATAAAGGCAATTAAATCTGCAGGAAGATTCACCTTCTTTTCTTGGATCTTCATTATCAGTTCATAAAGTTTAGTTGATCCAGATTGTACTTTCTCTTCCGGCCCTTCTAAAATGACCATGTTAGCACGTCTGAGGATTATTACCTCTGGGTGAAATGTACTCATCTCTCTGTTGAAATCCTCTTCAATAAGTTTGAAATGCTTCTCCACAACTCGCTGCTCCTTACGTACTGGTGTGCTTTTCTCTAGAACTGCAATTTTCTCCTTTACCACCTTAGCTTCCCCAACCATCACAGCATAACCACTCTCTGAGTAAACCTTTACATCATCGGTGACAAAGAAGGGATCCTGCAGAACCTTTTTGACATAGTTCTGCTCAAGCACATGATGGATCCTGTAGCTCTCAATGAGATTAATGAAGATCTTATCCACTTGGAGTTCCCAGTGTTCTGCTGCACCGTCAAAAGCTCCTCGAAGCAACTTCTCTATATCCCCCCTTACTACTGCCTCTTCTTTCTTGAAGTCTAGCTGTACTGTGCAGCCGATTGCAGAGAGCTGCTTTTGTAGCACTTTGTAAACTTTAGGATTGTCTCTCAGGTAGAACAAGAGGAAAATATCTGTTCTAATAATCTTCTCTAGAGTTATCTTGCTTAGTTTAGTAGTTGTCTACAAAAAGGAAAAAAGAAAAAAAAATTAAAAAAGGCAGATGCAGGAAACGTTTATACGAAAAATATAGAAAGGTTATTAACACTATCTCAAAAAACCTCTGTGTACTATTTAAGGTTTTATCTAATGAGAGGTTTTGCCCCCACAGCCAAATAACAATAATATCAATAGATAAATAGATAAAGTTAGATAAACAATAACATTTAAATGGTATGATGTTTAATTGTACTCTGTATTATTAAAAAAGTAATCGCAAAAAACCAAAATGTTAAATAATTGGCTAAAAAGAATAGTTGAAAAAAGTAAGCAGGGTGTAAGTATTTGTGTCTTCCAGCCTGAGGATTTTTTGGATGTTTTTGAAAGACACACCCTCTAATCTTTAAAAAAAAAATGAGTGTGAGAGAATGTGCACAAGCCCATTTCTCCTCATGCACGCTCTGTTTAAAAGTTGCTGTTCTCATAGTTCATACAAGCTTACTGTGTCCTAACGTCCGCCCTAACCCCTAAACCCATCAATCACTACTTAGGCCAGGGATTTTATAGTGAACTCCCATTCGGACAGCTGATCACTTCCCCATTGGTGACTGCGCAGTGTCGGTGACTGCGCAGTGTCGGGATCTGGAGGCTTGTCTAACTTTCTCCACCAGAGGGCGCCTGAGATCTTCCTCCTGAGGGCGTGAGCTGACTTCGACACACCTGTTTTCCATCTGCTCATCATGAGGCATACTTAAGGAGGAGGAGGATTTAAGGAGGAGGAGGCTGACACTTCCCTGCTAGAGTGTTTGCCAGTAATGGTACCAGCAAAACCTGAGCCATCTAATCTGATAATTTCTCTGACTTTCTGTGAACTAGTCTGACCCTGTGTTCTTCTGCCTCTCAGATCCCGACTTATCTGGAATTCAGTCTAACCCTGGAGATAAACAATCACTGCCTGGAACCTGTTTGTCTGCCCTCCGCCTCAGCCTCCGCCTCTGCCTCTGCCCCTGCCCTCAGCCTTCAGCCTGCCGACTAGCCTCTGGATCCACAAGGTTCCCCCCCTGCTGATCTGATTCTCTTCTGAGCAGGTATTAATCCAAGTCATCTTCAAACTGCAAGTTTCCTGGATCCACTCTAACTGATCTGTCCTCCTCTAGTGGCTTCCCTCCCGTGACCAGTCCGACGAGCCAAGATCCTGTGCACAATTATTGTAAACTTTGTGAATAAACTATTTAACCTTTTCCCTGTCTGAAGAGTGATTCTGCATGTGGGTTAGACGCTTAGACCCCAACATGACACGCGGTGCCTGCACCATCTTTGTTATTAGTCGCCACCCTCAGGTAGCAGCAGCCTATGGCGACAGTGGGCCGGTGTGACAGCAAATCCAATAATGCTTTCAAGGAGAGCTCTCTGCGCAAAGCATTCAGAGATATATCTGCCTCTTCTGAGGTTTTTTCTTCTCATAGACTTCATAGACACTTTTTCTCTTACGACCCTCGGCCACTTTCAAATAACCGCTGTGAGAAAGGTATGCTTCAATGACTGTCTGAAATCGTAGCTCACCACACATATATGCAGAAAGTGCGCATGCACAGAAAAAAAAATACAGCTAAGGGGACAAGTATGTACGATGGCCTTATGTAAACATATAACCAGAATGATAATTACGAGGACCTCTTATTTAGATGATCCACTGGGAAATATAAGATCGTCCTTTATACCTTTAACTGAAACAACCCATGCTTTGCATACACAAAGAACCTAACTGGTTAATAAAGAATTGTCTACATGACTTTATTTGTTTCCAGGCTATCTGTTCATCTTTTATTAAGCAGTGATTAATGAGCTTAAGTAATGATGTGTAAAACAAATGTTTGTGACCGTTGTGTCTACAGATAACACCTTTCTGTAAAAAGTCAACATAATCTCTTTACAAATACAAAACAGTCTGCAAAATAAACAGTAAAAGGGATATCTTTACAAGTTGCAGCTATTGAGGACTTGAGTCAGACATTTCCATTTGAGAATTATTTGCAATTCCACAAAATTGTTGTGGATGCTTTATTTATGGTCTATTACCCATTTTCCTAAGAAAAACAGCCTTTATTTAAAACAGAAAGAGACATACAATCAGGGGCGTCTCTAGGTTTAAGAGACAAGGGTGGCTGAGCCCCTAGAAGCTTTTTTCAGTGCACCTGCTAAGGCGTTGTCTAAGACAAGCGTGTAACTTTGTATTGAAAGTTGGTGGGGACGGCTCATAAGGAAAGGGAGCTACCTGCGCGACCCC